TAGATAGATAGATAGATAGATAGATAGATAGATAGATAGATAGATAGATGATAGATAAGCAATGTGTTTACACACATATATATGAATAAGTTAATGGTTAATTATTCTTTAAAAATTTCATCATATCTTTCACCATAACATCCTAAGGAAGGTATGTCTACTATTTAAATAAGTAAACTTAAAGGATAAAGACACTCTTTTGAATCTTTATAATAAGCTCTCTGTGATCCTCCTTAAAAGGGAATGTCAAAATGAGTAATATTAATGGGACATGATTTTCTGAGAGTCTGTGTAATCAAACAGCAATACTGCTGTACTTATAAAGAAAGTATTTATTTTTAAATTGCTTGAAATTTCAAGATCTCAACAAAAGCAAGGAAGCTCTGTTTTAGGAACTTGACAAGGGCATCTTCTGGGTTAAGGGTCTTCTCTAATTGGTAGCCAGGATTCCACACTAAATCGGTAGACTTTTAATTGGCAATGTGGGGGAGAAGAATATCTATGAGTACCTTGGTTCCAAATGTAATCTCCATGCATGGATGTGTAGACTGCATTTGCATTTTTATCTGATCGTTTGGCTGAAAAAGCAGCCAACATTCAAGCTAGTCCAAGATGAAAGGGCCCAGGAGAGATCAAGAACCAAGACAACTCGAGGAACAGGCAACTCCACCTCCTCTTCTCATCCTCACTCTGCTGTCTCTGCTTCTCTCTAGGAACATGCTCCCTTCTGCTCTCTCTTAGCCGACTCCCTCTACTCCTTCACCACTGGTTTGTACGTGACCGCTGATGTCCTGATCTCAGCCCACAAGTTCAGCATCTGCTCCCACTGCCTCAGTTTCTAAGTTTCCCTCGTCCAGTTCCCAACTCATCTTTCCACTCTAAGCCACACATCCTAAATCATAGGTCATGGCTAACCTTGAATTGGCTTCCCTTGGATTAAAGTCCCACTCCTGGTTCCATCAGCTGTGGGAATGGCAGGAATCCTTTCCTTAAAAGGAAGAGTGGCCTCAAAACACAGATCCCTTTGACTTAGTAGGGTTTAATAATCTTGTTGTTAGTCTAACTAAATATCAGAATACAAACTATCCCCAGGAACCCTTGACGTATTTTTGTACTCCCTGATGTAGGTTCCCAATTTTAACTTCACTGACCTTGAAATAAGATACATAGCAGAAGGCCCGTGACTGAATGAAAAGTTGGTTGTAGATTAGCTTTAAGTAGCTATGTGTCTTGGACACACACAGACTATTACATGATGTGCAAGTGTCAGGAACAAGAAGCCTCTTCCTGACTCATGACTTTTTCTTATTTAATCAAATGCACGAAACGTCACACTTCTGCAATCTTCTTACTTAACCACACTCTTGGCCAGCTCTGGCCTAGACAGATTAGTAATGCATTTCGTTTGCGAATGAAAAATAAAACATTCCCTTCCTGGAGCCTGGAGCTTTCTTTGTCCCCTGAATCCTCTTCATTCAAACTCGCTGGCTTAATCGATTAAATACGATGTCAGAAATAGGTGGATAATCAAAAGCCAAATCAAACCCATTGTCATCAAATCTATTCCAACTCATAGTGACCTTCTAGGATGAGCAGAACTGCCCTGCGGGGTTTCTAAATCTGTAACTCTTCCTGGAAATAGAATGGCGCATCTTTCTTCTATGGCATAGTTGGTGGATTTGAACCATTGACTTTTTCATTAGTAGCCAAGCGCTTTGACCACTGCACATCCAAAACAGAGAGAGAGAGAACCCAGTGCCATCTCATCAATTCCCTCTTATATAGACCCAATAAAGGGTTTCCAAGACTACTATAAATTTTTATGAGAGCAGACAACTACATCGTTTCCCCACACCTAAACCACATTGTCACTTGGGCTTCCATATTAGGTGAATACACTTCCCAAACTAACACCTGAGCAGCAGTATGAGTTTAAATGTTATATTTTTAGACAAATTACGGTCTCAAAATAAAACCCTAGGACATTGGGAAAGATCAGTCTGGTAGAGGTAAAAGGTATGTATGTAAGTGATGGTGGTGGTTGTGTGTTAAGTAGGTTCTGACTCTTCTCATCACCCTTTATAGGGTTTCTGAGGCTGTAAATCTTTATGGGAGCGGAAAGCCTCATCTTTCTCCCATGGAGCAGCTGGTAGAGTCTTACTGCCGACCTTGTGGTTATTAGCCCAACGTGTAACCCACTCCCCTGCCAGGGCTCCTGGTATATAGGTTGTCATCATGTTTTTTAGACATGTAAAGTTCGTCACTCTAGGTCTATGTGTGTCCTAGCTGTTTAAGGTTAAGCTATAACCAACTTTCCATTCAGACATTGACTTCCTGCCATTATTGCTTTAGAAGTGTCAGTGAAGTTAAAATTGGGAACCTACAAGTACAGCTGGAAG